GGTTTCAAGAATCTTATACTTTAGTGACAGATATAGATAATGAATAATAATAAACATCAAAACAAAAGGTGATCCAAGATTTTTTTCAAGGAAAAAAAAGGCCAGTGTAACTGGAGCACCAAAGCAAAGTTTAACCTAGGAAGATTAGAAATGTCAGTACATATAAGATTATATGTGAACCTAGTGTTGGAAATAATTTGGGACATAATTCTTGATGGGAAAGTGTTTCTGAGTTTTAAGTATGACTTATGTTTTTTAAAATAACCTTTTTTAAAGGTTACAGGTGGTTTTGATTAAGAGCAGAGGCAGTGAGACCAGTTAGGAAGCTGTTAGTGGTTGCTCAAGTGGGAGATTATGATCATGATTGCAAAGCATTTTCACATTTGACTATCATACACACACACCAAGAACAAAGTCAATGGGGGTTTATTATAAACCCCTTTATGAAAAATCTGAGGTGTGAAAGACTAAAGTTAAGTCCCAACTCACGTTTTGCTTCTTCAAACTTAGGAGCCTCCCAGGAACTTTCAGGAAAAGAGCAGAGTTGCAAGTGACAGAATCAAAGCAACTTATAGGTCTTCATCGATGACCTGCAGGTTAACTAATTTTGAAGTATTTCACAAATTGAAGTGTATTACATGAAAGCTTTATGAGACAGGGAAGAGACAGGGTGAGGTTTTGGTAACCCCAGGGCCACCTGCTTTCAGAGAAAGCCATCAAATCAGTGCCACTGTAAGTGGATGTGGCTCCCATTTAAGTTCCAGTTGAGTGGTGCCATTCCCTATGCCCTGTCCACAGAACTACTCAACTCTCTTCAGAAGTACAATGTAGATGCGAATCTGCCCAACCCATTTTTTGTCAGATCTTCCTTTTATTATGCTAATCCTGATTCAGAGTGATTTTAAAATGTAAGAAAAGTTTCTGTATGTTTTCTCATTCAAAAAATAACACGAAGAACGATAACTGGATTGCCTTGAAAGTATTATAATTGTGACAGATAATGATTTCCAAAATGAAAATATTTTTTTAAATTCTATCAGAATTTGATGAAATGATCTGAACTTAGTCTGAATTTCTGAGGTTCAGATTAGTTTATGTGAGAGAATAATGTTTTTTAATATTCATTTTGTAAATAGATATAAAGTGCTTTCTTCTGTTTCTGAAGTTTTCAAATATTCCACTTATCATTTTTAATGATTGTTGCTTAAATTAAGAAAATAGTATTTGAGGGGTGAATCAACGGAGGGAAGACGTTTCTCTCTGTCTCTTCTCTCTCACTGTCTAACTATCTGTCAAATAAATAAATAAAAAAAAGTGATATTAATTTTTTAACAATAGTGAATAGAAGTATTTGGTTCATTTAAGTCTAGAAGTTTATGGTCTGCTAGAAACATATATAACTGACTCATTACCTGATTGGCAGTGAAGGGTATGTCTTGAAATCAAATAACTGCAATAACTTGACCATTTATCAAAGCCTATTTCTACTTTGTATCATGGATAATGCTAACCACTGTATATAATGCCAAATCTAATCTTTACAACAATCTTATTAGTTCATTGGGTTATAGTATTTACATACTAAGGACAAAAAATAGAGAATCAAAGAATAGGTATTCAAAATTAGGATTGAAATTAATACAGTTATTTCATTACCAAGGATGAGATTTGAACCATGCACCATCACACTCAGTGCTCCCATTTTATCCCTTAGGCTACACTGTTTTCTTTTATAAGAAAAACACAGTGGATAAATTCTCTTACATCATCTATATAGTCAGTTATAGATGTATCAGTCATAGTCCTGACAAAGTGCAGAAAGAATAACAAGTTCACACCAATTTTCCAATTCGGTGGCATTATTGTAAACTTAGAAACATGAGGATGAGACTGATGAAAGACATTTGGGAGTCCTTCCGAGATAACAAAGGATAGACATGGGATAAAAACATGTTGATAATGTCATTTATTGTTCAAATCAAGACTCTATCAATAACTTTTTCAGAACAACAGTCACATATCAAAACTGCCCTCAGCAAACTGGGCCATACAAAGGAACTTCAAAAAAGTTATGTAAAACTGAATCAAAATATGAGTTTATTAGGGAGGGAGTTGTGGCACAGCAGATTAACCCACTGCATGCAACACTGGCATGCAATATCAGAGTGTCAGTTCAAGACCCAGATGCAATCCTCTGCTTCTGAACTAGCTCCCTGCTAATGTTTCGGGAAAGGCAGTAGAAGAGGACCAAGAGCTTGGAACATTGCCACCCATCTGGGATACCCAGATGGAGTTCCTGGCTCCTTGCTTCAGTCTTGCCCAGACCTGGCTGTTGCAACCATTTGGGGAGTGAAGCAGCATTATCTTATTTTGAAATATTAAGTATATGATATCTACAAGTAATACTATTGTGGCCCATCTAAAAGAAGAAATGACACATATAAAAAAATGCACCGAGCCATGAATACAATAACTGTTCAGTAATGATTGCTATTCTTAAAAAAATAAGCTGCTGAAGACATAAAGAATAAAAGAGCCATGGCAATGTATAATTAGGATAACAAATATAAATGTATATTGCACATTTCATTCAATCAATTACTTGTTTTTCATCTCGCTTAGGAAAAATATTCTGTCATGTTCTGCTGAATTATGGAAAGCAGCTTATTGTGGGGTTAGGACAGGACTGAGAAACTCAGGCAAGGTAGGCAACAAGATACTTATTATACAGAGTGAGTCAAGATAAATAGAGGTGAACACATACAATGTGAAGTTCAATGAAAACTAAGCTGTGAAGATATAACCATGGATACCAGAAGGTAGATCAAGAAAGTGATTTCAATGTCAGGTGTGGAAGACAGATTTCAAGAAATCGAACATTCAAGGCAAAGCAAACAGAAGAATATGGACTGAATTCAAGTTTGTGGAAAAATGAGATTAAAAGATAAGTTTATTTTGGTGCAAAAGAAATTGAAATCTATATATATAAGGGATGTTCAGAAAGATCATAGAAAATGCAAAATATCAAAGAATGATTCATAAAAAATTACATTGAGTATTAAACATATTTTTTTAATTTTTAAAATTTTGTATTAGCATATACTAATTGTATATTTTGGGAGTTACATTGTAAATTTCCAACACATATGCATAGCTTCAGGAGTAGGGAAACTTATCTGCCAAGACCATTTGGATATTCAAACATCATTTACGGGCCACACAAAATTATCAGCTTAAAATTAGCCTGCTATAAGGCCGGCGCCGCGGCTCACTAGGCTAATCCTCCACCTGCGGCACCGGCACCCTGGGATCTAGTCCCAGTTGGGGTGCCGCGTTCTGTCCTGGTTGCTCCTCTTCTAGTCCAGCTCTCTGCTGTGGCCCAGGAAAGCAGTAGAGGATGGCCCAAGTGCTTGGGCCCTGCACCCACATGGGAAACCAGGAGGAAGCACCTGGCTCCTGGCTTCAGATCAGTGCAGCATGCCAGCCGTGGCGGCCATTTGGGGGCTGAACCAATGGAAGGAAGACCTGTCTCTCTCTCTCTCTAACTCTAACTCTCTGTCAAAAAAAAAAAAATAGCCTGTTACGGATTCATTGAATTTCAAGTCTCACTTGCAGTTGCTTTGCAGGGCCAGATAAGTTATTTCCTGGGCCTTATGTAGCCCATAGGACAGACCCTATCCACCCCTGGAACAAGCATATCAGGCAACATTCCTTTCCAATTCCTTATTTGTCTTTGTGTTTTGAGCCTACTAGTTCCACTATTCTAGTCTTTAATACACATCATGAACCAAAGTCACCCAACTGTGCAGCAAAACACCAAAACCTGTAACATTCATCATGCTGCTAAGTTTTTATATGCCACCTGGTAAGGTTGCATTCATCTCCCTAGATGGCCTGACATGAAACACTAGAATCCACAGTATAAGGACAAGACTGAGAAAAGGAATAATGACAAGTCACACCAGGTTAGACTAAAAGGCTAAAAAGGTTCTTTTAGACAGTGAGTAAGCACTTTAGTAGTTTCTCTCTTGCTTTTCAATTACTTGTCTGGGGCTGGCATTGTGGTATAGTGGGTTAAGCCTCCACTTGCAACATTGGCATAGCATATGGGCTCTGGTTGGTTCAATATCTGGCTGTTCCACTTCTGATCCAGATCCCTGAAAATGTGCCTGGGAAAGCAATAGAAGATGGCCCAAGCACATGGGCTGTTGCACTCACTTGGGAAACCTGGATGAAGCTCCTGGCTCCGGGCTTTGGCCTCACCCAGCCCTGGCCATTGGGGCCATTTAAAGAGTGAACTAGCAAATGAAAGATCTCTCTTTCTGTCTCTGTCTCTCTCTTTCTCTGTATAACTCTACCTTTCAAACAAACAAATAAATCTTTAAAAAAAATACTCCAAAAATATCTTTACTCAATTAAATTCTTACTATTCAGTCAGTTTAAAATATCTATGCTGAAATGATCATTCCATTTCTAGTTTAAATCAATGCTCAATAGGAATAGGCTGTATAATTGAATTTCAAGGTTGTGTGTGACAAAACAAAGGAGAATATATACCCCCAATATAACAAATCCCATGCCTGTTTCAAGGTATACCATATTACTGTTGAACATCATTGCAACTATGGATACTCGTAATATATTTTGAAAATATAAAAACATTTAAAGTGCCTTTATCAACTTTCATGATTTGATTATTCCACATGTAAATATACAAAAAGATTCATGCACCATAAATAAACAATATATACAATTGTTATTTTACCATTAATAGCAACATATTAAAGAATAAATCAAATGAAAGCTAGCTAAAATCTTAGAAAATTTTTAATCTGTGAAAGTAGTAATAATGGATATAATTCAATTTGACTTTTTGCCTTAGTTATTTTTTCTTCTGATCACTACTTCACCAGTTTCTGAGAGAAGTCATTGATCCTATCTCAAGCCTGCTGTAATATAGACTCCAGACTTGGAGATGAAGTAATGGAAAGGACGATCACCTTGAAGTTAGGGGAGCTGCTTCCAAATTCCACTTTAACATTCGTCAACAGATGACCTCAGAGAATTCACTTAACCTCTGTGCCTTTCAGGTTTTCACATATAAATTCAAGGGAAATCATACTGTTGATATTTTAGATGTTTTTCTAGCTAAGAAGAAAAAAGAAACAAAATAGAGTTAACATTTTCAAAATCACTTCATTTCTTACTTACTTTAGTCTATCAGATTCTTAGAGTTACAACTTAACCATACTTTCTTATTTTCCTAAAGAGGATCTTTATTTCCTGATATCTGCCCTTAATTCGTTTTACATATTCTGATTCAAAACATCATCCATCATAGAGTTGGAAATTCTCAGCTTGTTCCTGATATCACTAAATTCTGAGACATAAAACAATTCACCAAATGTGACACAAATAAATCTCATACGAGAATAATTATGTATAATTACATGATTTTTGCTATTTAACCAAGACATATTATATTTTTTTAAAAAACATATTTAATGTCTCCCAAAGTCAGTTTTCTAGTATACTGCTGAGAATTTTTACAGTTAAGTTCATCAGGAATTTTTCATCTATGTTCATTAGGAATTTTCTTTTTTGTGATTATTGTGTTTGGTTTTGGTATCAGGGTACTTAAGGGTACTACTCAGAATAATTTTTAAAGAATGTCCACCTTTTCCATTTTATTGAATACCTCTGAATAGTTGATATTAACTCTTCATTACATTTTTGGTAAAATTCAGCAGTAGAGGCACCAGATACTGTGCTTTTCTTTGATGAGAGATGTTTTATTATTTATTCAATCTCCTTACTCATTATTGGTCTGTTCAGATTTTCTATTTCTTTTTCATTTAATCTTGGAAAGATGAACATGCACAGCAATTTTTCCTTGCTTTCATAACTGCAATAATTTTAATGTTTAATTTTCATCTCTGATTTTACTTGAGTACTCTCTCCTGTCTCATATAGAAGCTGAAGTTTTCCAATTTTGTTTGTATTTTTAGGAAATTAATTCTATGTTTCTTGAAACTTTTTCTTTTTTTGGAATCCAAAACTGGGTATTTACTTTTTTATCCAAAGAAAATAAAATCAGTGTGTCAAAGAGGTATACTATTCTTTATTGCAACACTATTCACAGTAGCCAAGCTATGGAAACTTCCTAAGTGCCCATCATTGGATAAGTGGATTAAGAAAATACGGTATGTATACAAAGTGAAGTACTATTCAGCTATTAAAGGAGAATGAATCCTGGCACTTGTGACAATGTGGATGAACTGGGAGGACATTATGCTATTTGAAAAAAGCCAAGCACAGAGAAATGAATGCTACATGATCTCACCAATCTAGAGAATCTGAAAAAGTTAGCCTAAATGAAAAGAGTAGAATAGTGGTTACTGGTAATAATAGTCTTGGATGGCTATTCGGGTAGAAGAAATGGGAAAATATCTGTTAGAGAATGCATAATTGCATCTAAATCGATGGAATACATTTCACGGGGTATATTATACAAAGTGACCATAGGTGATGATAATGGATATAATATTCTTGAAAACGTAAATAGAGTGAATATTAAGTGTTCTCACCACAAAGATATCTACATTATAATTAGCTAGGTTAAACCATTCCAAAATGTGTGTGTGTGTGTATTTCAAAACACCATAAAATCATTAATTTGTCAATTAAAAGAAACTAAGCATAAAATTATATATTTAATGCAAAAATATAAATCACATTTTAATGAAATAATTAAAACATAGATAAAATTCCATGTATTTCCATGTAAATCATAATAAACAATTATGTTGATGAAAATGTTTTGACAGCTAGCATTTATTAAAAAAAAATCTTTCTGGATTCTGTGGAGCAGTGAGGAGAGTGAACAGACAGTCCACTGCCAGCCACTCCTATATCTACATGGTTGGTTCCCAAGTGGAAAGCACTATCTTCCAAGAGCAAGATAAAAGACAGCTGTCAGAGTACCCACCACTAGCAGTTTTGACTGAAGGAGAATTCCGTTGTCACCGATGACTTTGAATCTGGCCTAGGAAGCAGGCAGGGGTCTGAGTCTGTGAAGGGAGAACATCTCACCTTTCTCTCCTTCGCCTGCTAAAGCACCAGACACGATTTGCTGAGGTGGAGATATATAACTGAACTCTGTCTTGACACAGGGAACACTGGGCACTTCTGCCACTGCCAGAGGCCACTGGGACTGAGGATACCCTGCATCTGTGATGGTGAGAGTTCTGGACATAGACTATAGGTTGAGTTTCATGGACTCATCTAGTCTCACTGTATAAATAGAGCTCAGAACATGCTGGAGAAAGAACTTATAAAGGGGTCAAGAAACACTTTGCAGTATGGATTGAGCTCTGTATGGTGAATGTGCCCATGTGGGTGCTGTGCACTGACACCATTAGCTCACCCTAAGCTGTGAATCATTGAGTTCACTTTGGCAACAAGAAGAGTTGAATTAGTGAATCCACTAGACAACTCCAACATCCTCTTCCTGCATTGACTGTAGCCAGAGGTCCACCACCAAGCCTGGCTTGGGTGTTATTCTGAACTGTTGCCATACCCAACAATGATGGTCAGAACTCCCTGCTCCACCCATTACATAGCATTGGAACTCAAGTGTAAGCCTTAGCCACTAAACCAAACCCCAGAAGCAAACTTCCAGGGAATAAAGGCAAAGAAGAAAGAAAGAAAGAAAGAAAGAAAGAAAGAGAGAAAGAGAGAAAGAGAGAAAGAAAGAAAGAAAGAAAGAAAGAAAGAAAGAAAGAAAGGGAGGGAGGGAAAGAGAGAAAGAAAGAGAAAGAGAAAGAGAGAAAGAGGAAGGAAGAAAGAAAAAGAAAGGAAGGGAGGAAGCTAGGGAGGGAGGGAGGGACATAGGAAGGAGGGCAGGAAAGGAAGAAAAGAAAGAAAAAGAGGAAGGAAGGAAGGAAGGAAGGAAGGAAGGAAGGAAGGGAGGAAGGGAGGGAGAAAGGAAGGAAAGAAAGAATCATAAAAAATAAACTGCCATCCTCCAGAGTAGATAGTAACAAGGAATTCTCCAGATGTGCAAAATCAGCATGAACAAGGAAGACAATGTATCTCCTCAAAAGGAAAACAATAATTTATTAATAATGAACCATGAAGGGGAGACTGATAATTCGTGAAATGCCTGAAAAAAATTTAAAAGTGGGCCAGAGCTGTGGCATAGTGGGTAAAGCTGCCACCTGCAGTGCTGGCATCCCATATGTGCACTGGTTTCTGTCCCAGCTGCTCCACTTTTGAACCAGCTCTCTGCTATGGTCTGGGAAAGTAGTAGAAGATGGTCCAAGTCCTTGGGCCCCTGCACCCATGTGGGAGACCCAGAATAATTTCATGGTTAGACTCAGAAGAATTTAATGGGTCCTGACTTCAGATCAGCCCTTCTCTGTCCATTGTGGCCATTTGAGGAGTGAACCAGCAGATGGAAGACTCTCTCTCTCTCTCTCTCTCTCTCTCTCTCTCTCTCTCCTTCAGTCTTTCTATAACTCTGCCTTTCAAATAAATAAATAAATCTTTTGAAAAAGAATTTAAAATGAATGTGCAGCTAAGTGAGTTACAGAAATCAATACATGATATGCATGAGAAATTCTTAAGAGATAGGGATATTAAAAACAGAAATATTAGAAATGAAGTATTCAATAAGTCAAATAAAAAATACAAGGGAAAGCCTTAACAACAGACTTGGTGGGGCAGAAGAAAGAACATCCTATCTAAAAAAATAATAAAATAAATAAGGAAGACTGAAAATAGTATTTGTGATCTAGGTTATACCACAAAGAAACCAAATATGTAAGTCTTAGGAGCTTCTGAAAGTATGAAAAGAATAAATCTTATTTATGGAAATAATAGAAGACAACATCCTCACTTTAAAGAAAGATATAGACACTTAAATACAAGAGCACATAAAATCCTAAATTGGCATAAGAAAAGGTCCTCATCACTACACATTATACTCAAGCTTTTAAAACTAAAACATAAAAAAAGAATATCCTAAGATGTGCAAGACAGAAACACCAAGTCAGCTTTAAAGGAACTTCTATCATATTGTCAGGAAATTTCTCCACAGAAACCTTACAAGGCCACAAGAGCATGGAGAGATATAGTTCAAGTCCTAAAAGAAAAAAAAACTGCTAACCCAGAATACTTTACCCAATCAGTCTTACAACTCATAATTAAAGATGTAATAAACACAGAAACAGAACAAAAATTGGCATCGTGAAAGAATGTGAAAGCAAAAAATATATCCAAGTAAAGAACAAAGGAGATTCACAAAAAAGCAATGGGAATACTTATGGAAAAATGGCAGTACCAAGTTGTTATTTATCAACAATTTAATATAAATGGACTAAATTGTGCAATTAAAAGGCACAGGTTAGCTGAGTGGATAAAAAAACAAGACCCATACATATGCTCCCCACAAGAAACACACTTCACCAATAAAGATATGAACACACTGAAAGTAAAAATATAGAAAAAGTATTCCATGCAAACAGAAATCAAAAAGTAGCTATCCTCACATCCGAGAAAATAGACTTTAAGACAAATACTGTGAAAAGAGACAGAAAAGGTCATTATGTGATGATTAAGGGATCAATTCATCAAGAAAATGTTACTATAGTAAATGTATATTCACCAATGCCAGTGTGTCCAGTTTTGTAAAACAAATGCTAATAGATCTAAAGGAAGCTATAAGCCCAATACAGTAATAATGGAGGATTTCAACACCCTACTTTCATCAACCAGACCAAAAACAACAACAAAAAAGATAATCTACACTATGGACTAAATGGACCTAATAGATATCTATAGAACATCTTATCCCACAGTTACAGTATATACATTATTTTCATCAGTGCATTGAACATTCTCTAGTATAGACCATATGCTAGCCCATAAAAAAGCTCAGCAAATTCAGGAAAAAATGAAATAACACCATGATTCTTTTTGGCCACAGTAGAATGAAGCTGGAAACTAACAAGGAAAGACACTATAGAAATTATATAATCAAATAGGAATGGAATAACATTTTCCTTTTTTATAGAAAATTTTATTTAATAAATATAAATTTTGAAAGTGCAACTTTTGGATTATAGTGGTTAACCACCCTCCCACCT